CCGTGTCGAGATTAACGATCGATCGATTCACGCGAATTATTCTCGAGTTAACCTATTATGCACTGTGGACGTCAGTACCGTTTTCGTGGAAACGGAACCCGAAATGATTGATTCTTCTTTCTTGAATTTGCTTTAGTTTCCGTTTCGCGATTACGGTTTGTTTTGTTTTAATTGTTACCATTTTTGAGTATATTTACTTGATTCCACGGGAACACTGATTGTCCTTTGATCTTCTTTCTCTACTCCATGTTGGAATTAATTATCGATTGATTCTTGCGATTTTCGAGTTAATATGTTGTATATTGAAGGTGCATCCAGGAATTTTCATGGAAATAGTGTTATAATTTTAATCACTCAGATTTTTATTTTTATGTTCAATATCAGACGTCATCGAGCAGTACGACTTGATTCCACAGGAACTTCGAACCGTTTTTGCTTTTTTGTCCTCTCCCTCTGTGTCGAGATTAAGTCGATTGATCGATTCGTGTGAAGTGCTTTCGATTTAATCCGTTACATAGTGAAGGTAACTTAAAATACCACTTTTATGAAAATGGTGCCATCAACCAATATACTTAGGTTTGTTATTTTAATTCGCTTGAATTTCATGCTCTTCTGCTTTTTATTCTTTTAACATTATTTTTCTCTTGGTCTCGAATTGATAGAAAGGTTAGAGTCAATGCAATGACATTGTCATTGACAATGTCCCATGCATTTATAAAGGATATTACATGGAAATATATTTCGTGGTAGTTATTTTGAATTCAATCAGTCTTAATATATCTCGAATAAAGACAATACTAAGAATAAGAATTTAGACAAAAGGTCTAATTCGTATACAGGACTTTACGTCAGCGGCGTAGATTCCAGATATTCGTGAAAACAGATCATGAAGAGCGTCTACTTCCTTTTCATTTTCACATACAGAAATCGTTGAACAATTCGCCAAAGCTGTTCCAGTATTTCCAGTTCGCCTCGCGGTTCGTTTATTGAGTACGAAGTGTTTTATACGCTTTCTTCTCAGTGTTATTATAGAAACTGAAATTATTCTGTGCACAACGCTTTATGGTTCGTGACCGACTCGTCTGTTCTTGACAATTTAATCTTTGGGCTCAAATTCCTCGAGTTCCTTGCTTTGTACAATATTTCATTCGCAGATTAAACAAATGAAAAGTAATATCTTTTAATTGCAAGGTATTATAAGATATGCACTTATTTCTATTGAATTTCATATAATTATTAGTAATTGAACCTCATATTTTAATTTTACTTCTTGTAATACGCTAGTCGGAAATATAAAATTTCCAATTGAAAATACTGTATTTATTGATCAACTGTTTCAATTAATGCAATTAGTGCATTTTATAATTGGGAATTAAATAATTTTAAACCGTTTTGATTATAAAATGAATGTCCAAATTATTTGTGCGAACATCGATTTCGGTGTTTGAAAGAAAACTGTTCTTTACTTGCATTATAAATGTATTCAGCGATCAAGAAATAAAACAGAATTAAATCACGATTACCATCGATAATTACAAATGAATTCAACTTTTATTACAGGATTCGAAGTACGCAGCGAATCACATTAACGTTTTTCCATTCGAATTCTTGACGCTGCCAGGAAATAACGTTGGATATTTCAAAAAGACTATTGTTTAAAACTGTAAATATATTGTAATTTAATGTCGATTAATTTAAATCGATAATTTCATTTTTTTATTTCGATTAATTTAATTAAGCCCAACTTTAATTTCTTCGGCATTCTATGGTATCCATTAAGAACAGATTTTATAAGATAAAGTTATTATTTTATGCATAACAATTCCATGTTTATTGTTAAAATCCTGTTAGAGATTTCTCTAAATATTTCCCTTAATTTTCTTTTCGTTAGTCATTATCTTTAACTTATTAGATTATGCTGTAGCGTTTTCGCGTGAAACCCTTGACCACTCGAACCACATGAATTTTTCTATACGAGCGACGCAATCCCTCTAAAGGATACTTTTATTCAACAACCATCGACCGTGCAAGCTAAATTCTCCCCGCATTTTGGTTTCCCTCTCAATTACGACCGGATAAAAAGTTTCAAATTATTTTTAACGCAGGGGTCGTTAGTTCCTCATGTTCTCGTATAATTTAACGTAGTATTTCAAATATCTGTTTAAATCATGTATATACTATTATATTATATACGAACTATATTATGCGTAATTACACGCGAATATTAAAATTTGTTCAAACATTTGAATCTCTCAATTGCATTTAACATTCCACTTATACTTAACCAAAATTTCTTATTTCGCAACAACTCATTTATTATTTTTAATTCACGCATTCGTTGAAGAACAAGATCATGAACGTTGAATCGAATTTAAAGTAAAGATAGTTCAGAATTTGGAAGAAAACAAGTATTAAACTGAAAGTTACTGTTATACCAATTAATTCCTCGCGATCCGACTTGTTTAATCAGAAACTTTACGATAACATTGAAATGAATAGTGTTAGGTGTGGAATTGTTTCTCTACCTATCAAGTTTACTGTAGGTTATTTGCTTGACCTAGTTTTGAGGGCTTGGCTGAAGAGAATGCTCAGTATCGAAGGGATTATTTCAAAACGTTTATTTTCTGTTAACTTCGCTATACCGCGGGAATTCACTTACGTTACGATTCATTTATAAAAAGTTACAAAGGTATATAACAAAATTCACAAAACAGAACATTTCTGTAATAAACACACGTTCCATTAACTAAACAGAAAACAATACTAAACACACAATAATCAAAAAGTAAGTTATCAGCTAAAAGTAGGTTCAGAACCATTCACATCGGAATTATAAAATACAAATATTAGATACCGAATAAAGACTAATAGAAAAATCATAATTTATTAAAGACAGCAATAATAGAGTGAATGCTCGTCGCAATAATTCCTGAAAACGGAGACGCAGCAATGAAAATTCTACAAAAGATTTATACCGCGTACCGTCCAGCGCCGACGTTCAAATTTCCAAAACGGTCGAGCTCCGTTCGATTTTCTTGCTGTGTTTTTTACCCGCAGAAACGAAAGGGAATCCAAACGATCTGAATGATCTAAACCAGAGTAATACCGATAAAACCATCGAGATCTTTTTCTTTTTCCACCGTCGGTTCCGTCCCGCTCGCTCCTGGCCATCGTGCAGTTCATTCCCATCGTCTAACGGATATCGAGGTGAATCAGATCATCACTCGATTTAACAACTCGCGGATAAAGGCGTTTTACTAAACACGCGCGAGTAGAAAAGACCTAATGGCGGAAAACAATTTCTTTTCTTAAGGGGGCGCAATTCAATTTTTTGCCGTCGCCATTAATTCTTTTTACGGACGAATCGAGCCGGGCGCACGGCTCAATTAGCAACGGAAAAAAATTGCGCGATTAAGAATTCATAACAGTAAAGAACGATGTTTATTACTAAGAATTAGAACGTCACGCATTTCCAAACATTACTCATGCGGGGTTAACAATCTTCGCGAGCCTCGGTTTAGTTTATATTAAGACCAGCCTTTGCTATTATAATTTATATTTCATCATTTATTGCGTTCCCTGTGCTCGTCCGTTTCGCAATTAAAACAGAAATTACATTACGTGGAACAAGGAATCGTATAAATACGTTTCTTTGCTCTATTCCTAGTCGGGGGTAGGTTTGAAGATAGCTTATTCTATCCCGCCGAGCCTCGCTCATTATTTTTATTCGCTGGCATTTCCTTAAATTGTTGTCTATTCTTCCTTCATCTCATCTTCTCTTTTATATGAGTAACTGTACACTATTCAAAAAATTTGATTACACTCGAAACGACACTATAAACTAAAGTAATTATTTTAAAGAATAAAGTAGATTTTATTATTACCAAGTTATCCTGTAGTTTTTTTTAAATACAATCAGTAGCTAGAGATTCCTTAATAGATTTTCCAATGACGACGCTGATTATAATCAAACCAGTCTTCTTCAAACGACGTAACAACTTTATTAAACTAATGTCTCAAACAAAAATTATTGTACTCTTTTTCAACACACTACTAACAAATCTATCAATAACGTTCTTCGTTCGAGTACCAAACCAAGAAGCAACATTCGTCTCCATAACGTTTCACGGACAAAAAAATAACATACCATATAACTCTTTACAGAGCCTTCCGTCTTCGCAACCAACCAAAGATGGCGAAGACAAAATCACTTTCCTGTTCCGTAACGTCCCCCCGGCTCTCTCGCAAAGGCAACAGGCCGAAAACTATATATAAGTACCAACAGAAGAGACAATGCAAGAACTTAAACAGGAGATCAAAGAAAGGTAGGAACGCTGTCTTTGTACGAGGACATTTGTCCAGTCGGTGCAACCTGCAGTCACGAAAATGAAATTAGCTCTTATGCCGGCGGTAAGGATCGGGTACGGGCGCTTCCGTTAACCGTACCGGCGAGACGAATTCTTTCGTGTCTGAAGGCAACGACAGGTGGAGGAAGGTGAAACCCAAGAGGAAACAGGCTGTCATGGCGGAGGAAGACTGCCAGGAGAGCGGATGTCATTTCGTGGTCGACTTATTTCGCTGCCGGTAGGCAGT